GATACTCCGACTTTCTGTGTTCAGCGCCTTGAGGATACCAGATTGTTCTTTCTTTTCGGGGAAGACAGAGAGGAATTGGGCTTTGAGAGGGTCAGTGGCTTTTTTTGGGGGGCATTAAGGAGGAGAGCTCTTACCTGCAGAACCAGTAATGGTCAAGTGGGGGGCGATCTTGGTAGAATCGGGTAGAGGAGCGGGGAGAATCGCGGTTTTATTGAGGAGCGGAAGAAGGAGGACGCCGAGGAGGCCAGTAGCGAGCGTGTTGACTTGAAATCTGCGCTATGGAATCAGTGAACGAATTATACTTCAAAAGAAGCACGCACGTCTCCTCCCATCCATCGACCGTCTCCTTCCAATGCGGAACATTAATCCCAGCATTTAGTATCGCGCCGTCCAATCTTTCCAACTCGCGATTCGCCTTGTCCACAAACGCGTTCACGCTCCCAAAGCTCGCCATGTCAAGCTCCCAAACCTCCATTTTGCCGTTGTAGCCCGTCTCTGCGACGATTTCCTGACGCGCCTTTTCGCCCTTGTTCAAATCCCGCACGGCGAGGATGATGCGTGCAGGGTTCATACGCGCTAGACGTATCACAGACGCCAGACCGAGACCGCCATTGCTGCCCGTTACTATGTATGTGCGCCCGGTGAGGTCTTCGACCGTTTCAGAGAGTTTGGAGAAGAATTGGTCAGGAAGGAAGGTGAAGAGGATGAAGCGAAGCTGTCGGAGGGCGTCCATGGCGGCTCGGATGAAATGCAAAGCCAAATAAATAGCGAGGTCAAATCACGAGCCGCAGATCCCGGTTTCGTCGTGATATGTTTCAGCAAGTCCGTGTACAAGCGAAAACTGCAAAGTTTCTAAGAGAAATAACTATAACATTAACTAACATACAATGGGTATTTCCTTCACAGGGAAGGGTGTGTCTCTGATTGCATCCCACTTCATCCACACTGCAGGAATGTGGAAATCCCGAGGTCTATCGTAAGTGTATCGAATGCTTAGCCGCCTGTCCGTTGCGGGTTGCTGTCGCAGAAGTGTTCTGGCCACCTCGAGGGGCTGTACAAGAGTGGGCGGAATCCGTGTCGCCGCACCGGCTTCCATTTCATCCAACGTTACGTGGTGTATGAACTGGATTCTCTTGAGCTTCTTGAAGCTGGAGAGGGCCGTCTGAGGATCAAGTTCAATTGAGACTCTCGCATGGAAAAGGGCATACAATATCATCGCGCATATTGAGTCGTATCTCCAGAACGTTTGCAGCAGCTTTCACGAGACCTGAACAACGTTAGAAGGCATCCCCGGGCAGAAGATTTGCCAATACGCACGCTTCAAGAGACTGGGCTCGCCCAGCCAGAACCCTTCGATGGTCTCGACCTTCTTACAACACTTGGCGATTGCAGAGATGAGCTTGCTGGCATCGCTCGACGTGCAAATGACCTCCCGAACCTCGGGACAACAGCGAAGTATCTCGTGGGCGTGGCCCGGGAGAACAATTCGCTGTATGGTCGGCAAGCTGATGCCAGCAAAGCCGTCCTTGAGGTGGCTCGTCATTTGAGTGTGCGCGTGAATGATCTGGAGCGTGTGCAGGTTGGGCATCTGGGAGATGCAGCGCGCGAAGGGGGGGAGCACTTCTGCGGAGGAGTACCGCGTAAGAACGACGTTGACAATTCTGTACAGGCTTTAAATTCTTGTAGTTTGGACAAGACAACAAAGCACACCTGATTAGAGACAGCGTTTCTGGCTGGCGGACGAGGGCTAGGCTGGCTTTTTGCAGCTGATCCCCGAGAGCCTTGTAGAATGCAGCGCGTTCGACTGGCTCAACGCAGACATTCCACGACTCCCACAAGAGGGGTTGGTAAAATTGGCGCAACCAATCGCAGGTGTATGCTATTGCACGCAAAGTCACAGTGCGCTCGCGGTATTTGGCATCGAGAACAGGGTCTACGCCGCTGCGAAGCTCGACGTGGGGTACCTCGACAGAGGGGCCAAAATAAGTCGAAATAAGCCATAGGAGCTCCAACGGGAGGGTGAAGATTCCCGTCGTCGTTTGTGGGGGTCGTGGACCTGACTTAAGGGCTGGGACAGGGTCCTCAGACAGCGGTGCGGGGGCGGGTTTCTGTTTCTTTCGGGGAGGCATGGAGGTAAGAGGCCCCCTGCGTATGCGCCAAGATGTCCGATATTTATGCGGACGGAAGTCGTCCTAAAAAGGCCTCGGTGTACGATATTTATGCGGACGAAAGTGGTCCTTTTCTCGGCCATGTCCGATCTCACAAGTGCCTGTCGGGCGCCATGTCCGATCCGGTATGCGGACGCGGCGGGACCTACGTCGCATTTTTTTTTGCGTAAGACTTTGAAAATTCGCTACGTCGGTTTTCGCCCCGGCCGCGCTGGAGGCACCAACATATTAATATTATAATAAAGAGAACGGGGCAGTCACATCGTTACTCTCTAAAAAATTCTACGCGTAATACAATGTTCGATACATTATGCGGACGGAAATGGTCTATCGGGAACCTCGATACACTTATGCGGACGAAGGTGGTCTGCGCGGATGTCCGAGGCACTATGCGGACGAGCGCTGGGCTGGGAGAGGTCGCCCGATACTTATGCGGACGGAATCGGGACAAATGCCCATGTACGGATATGGCCAAAATCGGGGAAATTGTATCGAACATCTTAGCGCATACGCAGGGGGCCTGAGGTAAGAAGGAAGAATGTCACGCGTTGTAACGCGCCGAGACGATCCAAGACACTCCGAGTCATCGTTGCCGCGGCTGACTGAGAGTGATGCCAGAAAACTTGAAGTTGTTGCAGCATGACTCTCTCCTGGGCAGCACTCAATAGACCTGACGGCACTTGGAACGAGCTTGGTACCGTGCCCAACCGTGTCTTTACCCGTGCGTTGGGTACTTCGGAGGCAGCGTTTTACTGGGATGGCGAGGCAGCTGGTACGGCGGATGTGGCCGAGCGCACGAGAATCCGCATCTCGTCGCCCTCTTTACGCGTATCGGACGTCAAAGTCGACGAAGAACGCTTCAGGCAGGTCTGGTTGGACGTTAAAAGGCGATATCCTCTCATCGGAGCTCGGATCGAAGAGCTGGATTGCGGGCAGTCGCTGCAGTTTGTGGTCGAAGAAGCCCGACTTGGAACGGTGGCTGGGCGGCAAGAATTCCGGTTCATCTCGAATGCGGACACGAATTCTACTGCTGCTGCACTCGAAGAAGCGTTGAACGGACGACCACGACGTCTTTCGAGTTCTACTCTGGTCGCCATAACCGTCTTGCGCCGTACGGACCTACCAGAAGATACCTACGATATCATTACTGTCGGAGCGCACTTAATTCTGGATGGCATGTCTAGCTGCACGCTCGCGCGTACTATTAGCGAGGTCCTCTCGCGCTGGCCGTCGTCTCTGCAAGAGACCACGGTGGACTTGCCAAAGCGACTGGAGATGCTGCCCTCCGCGGAGTCTCTTCACCCACAACTCAGACTCTCCGTACCTCAACAACGATGGCGTCGGGCGATCGCCAGTGTCATTTTCGCTCGGCGAATGTCGCTGCTCAATGGTCACACATTACCGCGAACCTGGTCATCACAGAGTCCTCGCGCTCCCGCCCATTCCTCTGTCGTCCGGGTTAAATTTCCGACTGACTTTACACCAAAGGCACTCGTCGCATGTCGGACACATAAGGTTACTCTTGGAAATACGCTTTATGTGCTTGGACAAGTCGCAATGTCCCGTGTGCTTCATCGTCGCGTCAAACGGGGAGAGATGCCTTTGGATGAATGGGAGTCCCGATTGAGAAGCCCGATGCACACTGGTGGCCCACTAAACCTTCGTCCGTTCTTGGTGCCGGACTGGCAACAAGCCGGCGGTCTAACTGAGGTATGCCTTATTCACAATATTGTATCGATCTAACACCATCTCACAGATAAACCTCTGCATCGGCTTCTTCGTGATGTCCCTGCCCTTCCTCCCGTATGCTCGACCCGAAAACCCTACCGACCCGACATCCTTCCCAACCGACTCCACGCTCGCTCCACCACTCTCCTCGTTACTCTCCCGAGACCGATTCTGGCTCCGGACTACCATCTCGAAACAACGTGCCCTCGCGACCTACCGCCACCAACTCTTCCTCGAGCTGCTTGGCGTGAACAACCCCCTGCGTGTGGCCCGTGGACGCAGCTTTGCAGAGGCATGGCGCAAGATCCAGGCTGGCGAAGAGGTTGCACCGCTGCCTGAGCTGGCGCCCGATGCCATGGTATTTACTCATATCGGGTCTAGCATGGGGAATGCGAGTCTGCCGTTCTCTCCGAGATTACAACTCACCCTATTGTAGATGGACCACATACTACCGCTCACCTACCCACAAGGACAGGAACAAGAACATACCGTGGAGCGACTTTCGTCCGACATGCATCTGCGTTGTCGACCCGGAGAGCTCTACTTTGGCGCAAAGACGTCGCAGGGGGTAACGGAGTTCTGGGTCTTTTACGACAGCAACACTTATGAGGATGCCGTTGTCAGAGAGTGGTTGGACGAGATACACGGTGCCGTAGAGTATTATCTTGCTGAATAGACAACTATAGCAGTAATCGACTTATGGCTTCCGATGACCTCTCCTGCGTTCAAAGTTATTCTCGATACATTCCTAGGCTGATTCTGCATTGTTCTGAAAAAAATTCAAGGTTCCTTAAGCTTTTTGCTTGCCCGTCGTAAAAGAGGCGCCCAAAGATGCGTGAAAAATTTGATGACAGATTCGTGATGCGCAAACTGTCGCCCCCGTTTCTTGCCCGCAACGCAGCAGAATACTCCAATTTTTGGTAGGCGGGTGGGCAGGAGGTTGGAGAACGGAATCATGAAGAAAAATCAGGCAAAAAGGATGAAGGAGAGCGCAAAAACCGATACAACCGCCGGATAAGGCAATAATCGGATCTTCCGGTCTCTGGAAGGTTCAGAACGTCTGGAATGTTCTTAAAACGCTCTAGAAACGCGTCTAAAAAAAAAGGGCCTAACCGGGAATTGAACCCGGGACCTCCTCGAGTGGCAGTGCAAGCCGAAAGCTCGCAATAGCCCTAACAAGGAATCATACTACTAGACCATCAGGCCGATGACTTTGAGCAAAGATTAACGCCTATGTGCACCGGAATGGAGACCGGATGCACCTGCATAAATCTTCACCATCGTTCGAATAGAGGAAGGAAGGAAATTTAGACACCAGTACATCGTGGGCACGGGCTACAGCGAAGCATCAATGATCAGAGTACTTGATCAGTTTCACTTTACTATCAGTGCCCGCCCATTTTTAATGACGAAGAATGCATGGAGTATGTTGTGTTGTGTATCGTCGAAGAGAGGGCAATCCTACCTACAATTGGAATCTCATATCGTCCCAGTATGTGGCTTGGTCGTTGAGAAGTGTGGGTGGTCAACTTCGGTGTCTGGCCGTTTTAGGTAAGGGTTGCCCACATGAAACATTCCCAGACGCCGCAATTCGGCTCCTGAATTCTCAAAACTCCTTGGACGCGGAGAGGGCATCCCAGGCTACCGCCCACATCATTCGACACCATGGAATTGGTCGTAGACACAGAGATATTTCGAATAAACCGTTAAGGTGGTCAACTAACTTGAAGGGGACACGCGGGCCTCACACGCGTCTCCAACCTAGAAACCCAATTGTGTTTTCATGTGTCTCATGTCAAATGGCCTTTGAAGGCAAGATAGACATGGCTCTGACCACACTTCATTGTAAATGCCAAAGATGCAAGCTTAAGAACTGCCAGTGGACTGTGGACTGCCTTTCCTCCCCAATGGATCTGCTCCGTCCGATGAATACAACCAGCTAAAAATCAATCTCCATGTCCATCTCTCCACCGCCCTCCTCAGATTCTTCCTGGCCGTCTCGAAATCCCGCTGTCCCTCGTCCGAGTCGTCATGCAGTGCTCGTGTAGTTCTCGTCTTTGCCGTCTGACATTATGTCATCAGTAATAATATGTTTATTCACGTCTGAATTTGGTCTTAATATGACGAGCAATGAGCTTGACATTGCAATTTGCAGGTTTATAGACACGGCAAATCTTATGATATAGTCATGTGACCGCGTCTGGGCTTGCACGGCAAGAACAGCAACGCATGCGCCACTCTTAGAGCTACAGCCCCCTCAAGCTGTACCTCTTCCCTCTTAGAACTTGACAAGAATAGACTCACACCGATGTAAAGCGGCAATAAAGGGTTCAGACGCGATCACATGATCTGATTACCAAGACGCGTTGCGCCTCCGAAAATACAACAAAAATACAAGGGCAGTAGCGTACACTCATCCAAAGTTTTCCAAAGCAAGAAAATTATAGGTTATAGGCCCAGGCCTCCCATAAAAGCAAACGTAAAGCCAACCAAGATAATGGCCAAAGGAGAGGAAGACCGTGATGCGGCGTTTGAACTCGACGAGTCTTGGTTCTGTGTTGCAGGAACAGACGACGCTGCTGTCGGAAGCGTTTGTCCTCGGATGAACGTGTTCCACGCTGCGACAGTCGCTGTGGGGTAGACGAATGTCGACGTCTCGTCGCCCGCCTCGTCCTGATACACAATCCCATTCGACCCGGGGATGACGTCTCCGTAGGCTCCGATGAGTTGAGCCGTCTCTCCGCCTACAGCAGCGGCATTGGGCGAAGCCACGGAGCCGGTGGGATTGGAGCCAAAGACGAATTCGCGGAGAAAGGTGAGGGCGGCTGCGGGTTGTTTTGCGGGGATGAGGTGTCCAGTGTTGTTGAATAATGCGTAGGTCCAGCCACGTTCTTGGTGTACGATACCTGCGGGCTTGCCGCTGTCGTCGAACCAAACGGTGGAAGGCTTGCGCGTGAAGCCTTGGATGCCGCCGAAGGTGGTGTTCTTACGAATATGGTCAATCGGCGTCGAACGGTATTGGACATAAAACACACTTGAATCGTAACTACAAGCACCAGAGATAAGTTTGACTCATAACGAAAGATATCAATGACATACCTTCTGTCCCTCGATGAGCGATGAGAGCATCATCGTTACCAGAGTAGAGTATAACTGAGACATTATGTTTCGTAGCATTCGTTGCGAATTCGGTCAAAAAGTTCATAGGTCTGAAAACCGCACATTGGTCAGACGCACAATGAGAAAGAGCAAGACGCACACTGGGCTGGGATCGTCCTCTACAAAAGAGTGAGTTAACCCATCGAATCTAAACCAGAAACATACCGAGATCGCCGAAAACAAAATCAAACGATTGTTCCCAGTCCTTGCTCGTAGGCGCATGGAGCGCTGCTCGTGTGCGCGGGTCTACCAAGGTGATGAGCTCCAAAGCCATCTATAATCAAGAGATTAACGCGAACCGTTGAGGAACGTGTCCGAAAGGGCAGGCGAGCCAAACGGGTCGGTAATATCATAAACCTAACAATGAATAAGCTCTGGCGAAACAGTCGCGGAGAGTTTCGACGCACGTTAAACGCGCCCCCGGAAATGTTCCAAGGTGCGGAATAGTTCAACGCGTAGTCGATGAACTCGGGGAGGAGAGCGCATCCGTACTGTTTCCGAATCGTTAACTAGCCTGGCAAGGTCCACTAGAGATAAAGACGTACCCAAGGATCGAGGGTCCCATTAGCGCGCAGACTCAAGTCGCGCTTCGACTTTTGGCGCTCAACAGGCTCTAGCTCGGCATAGCGGCGGTTGATCTCGGCGACAAGCCCGCCACGCTTTGTGAGGCTCTTCCGGGCGGAACGTTCGAGGAATGGAACGTCGCGGTCCGCCGCGTCGATGAACTTCACGGTGGGGATGACCCCGTTTTGGGGGTAAGTGAGGTTGATGTCGTATCCGCAAAGATGTTCTCTGTGGAGGTGATAAGCCTCAGGGAAGACAGAGAAGGAAGCGACGCACTGTTCTTTGAAGTAGTTGTATACCTCCTGGTCGTAGCCAATGAGTTGTGGGTATGTTTCGATGACGCTCAACTGCGCGAGTCGCATTAGACGTTTGATAAGACAAGACAAGGCAATTCACCGTTGGAAGAAGCTCAAAGACCTCGTCGGCTGCGATAGAACCATCGCCGATTGCGATCTTGACAATCTTGACCGGGGGCTTCGCCATCGAAAAGTACGCCTGCGAAGGTTTAGCCGTGGTTTCGACCCCATTTGAGAGAGTTGACTTTACCTTCATGATGTAGGGTATATAGCTGGGGGAGGATAAGTTCGCGTCCGAAGGTGAGTCAAGGACGTACACGCCGGCATAACTCTCCCCCGTGAGGTGAAGCGGGCGAGTTGCCAAGTTGGGGAAAACTTTGACGAGGTTCGCGAGGAAGCCCATCTATCCAGGGGTCAAGACAGGCCAAGAGGAAGATCAATGGTCGTACAAAGTCGGCACCCATTTGGTCCTCGTCGGCGACTAAGTGAAACAGTTAGCGAGTAAGCGATGAGACGGGAGAGCGACGCACTGTAGCCAGCTGCATCGGCGGTGGAGAATCCAGTACCACTAGCAGAGTGTGAGCAAGGAAGAAACAGAAGAATGCGCACTTACACTGGCTGGTCGATCCAAAAGTAATCCGCGACGTTATGCCACGAGTACGGATTTGAGGAGACCGTCCCGTTGGGAGCGATGCGGATGGGTCCGTTCTACGTCATTTTAGTCAGAAGCATTCGTGCTGAAGCAAATCGAACATACCTCGAGGAAAAATCCGACCATGCTGGATGAGCCAGGGCTGTGACTACGTCAGATACATCTTGGATCGACAGAACGATACACACCCTCCATTCAGCCAAATTCCCCATGGATCCGTGCTCTGTGCCGCAGTCAACGATCCAGTCTGCTTCTCGAGACCCCAGAAGAAGAGCGTGTTGTTCGGATGGCCCGCGCGCTGCACGCCAATGTTGCCCGCGAAACTCCTTGGTAAAGGGAATGTAACGTTGGGGAGCGAGGCGGTAACTTGAAAATCTGCAGAACAATTTTTAGTGGAGAGTGAGGGATGTTGACAGACGCACATTTCTGCCATGCAGGGCTGTAGTCTGTAGTAGGCTGGCCGGGGTATGCGTGCGGAAAGGAACTGGGAAGGGTATCTGCGACGACGGAAGCGGCGAACGAGGCGAGGAGGAGGAGTCGTGACGGGGCCATGAGGGGGAATGAGATGGGCGAGAGAACCGTGGCGGCTTTTTAAGCAGGCCCTGTGTGCGGCATCTTTAGCGCGACAATTGAGGCTCTCGACACGAGAGGGCCAGAAGGCGTTGCAGGTTATTGTGTTATTGTGAGTGTCCGGATTAGGAACGGCGGATTGCCGAGATGAGAATTTCTTTTCCTTCCTCGTGCATTCTTGGTGACTGAGCGAGGCGAGAGCACCGGCTACGGAGCGCGTACGAAGAGGTGAAGTAGTGGTGGAAAGCAAGCGCAAGTTTGTCAAAGCGCGTGCCCGTGTGACATTTCTGCGGTTTTGGGCAACTTCCAGCCTTATTGTGTGGTCGGACCACTCGGACCACTCGGACGTCGAGTTTGCCGCTCGCCGCTCTAGCCGCCTCAAATTTTAGATCTGAACGCAGACGGTCTTCCGACTTCTTACACGGAGCGGCGAAGAACTGCCAGCGCCAGTGGGATGCTTCCGAGTCTCAGCTTCTGACCTGCGGCTGCTATTTCACGACGCTCGCGTAGCGCTCCTAGCTGATGTACAACAGCCAAATATCGCTATATGGTTCGTCGGGACAACATGGATGTCGAATCTCCTCTCGCGCTCGACACTGGCAGACCTAGTAATGGGATCAGTTTCTGCTCGAGAAGCTTACATCGCCGGCGGCAGTCGTATATTTACCGCTAGAGAACCCTACAAAAAGCGCACTACTCAGGCTCTCGGGGTTCCGAGTCAAGATGGCGCTTCTGTACACCCTCCTGCTCCTTCTCCCCTTCTTCAGCTCGGTGCTCGCTGCAACCCCAACAACGGAGGTGCAGGACGGGCAAACAGGCACTCTCATTGTCTTGCCTGCGCAGGCTACTGAGACTGGCGTGAAGCGAATCCCCGATGCGGCACATCCGTTTATTGCACCTGGTCCCAATGACCAGCGTGGACGTGAGCTTGCTGTTCTGACTCTCCCTTGCTCAAGACTGATTCG